AGCAGCCAGGGAGGGCGGGGCCTCCACCCTGAGCCTCGTCCTGGAGGGCCACAGAGCTGCTGACAGTCTCCAACTCGGGCCACCCAGTGACCCAGCAGCCTGGGGCATGTGGGTCCTGGGAGTTCTGAGAAACTTGTGGCACTGCCCAAACCCTGCTGGGTCATTAGCGTTTGGGTAAGGATTTCAATAAATTGCTGGTGAGGGGGAGACCTCCAGCTTCCAAGAAGGCTACAAACTGGGTCTGGGAACCAGAACAGGCCGGGTGGAGCCTGGTTCTGCCATCCCAAGGGCTGTGTGATGGGGGGCGGGGAGCCTCTGGGAGCCTCGGTGTCCTCTTCTGACAAATGAAGCTGATTCTGTTCGCTAACCCAGGTGGAGCGAGGGTGAGGATGAGGGCACCCAACACACACACACACACACACACACACTGCTCCCTGGGAGCTTTTCGGGTGAATTCTTACAGTGAAGGTGGGTTACTATTGTTGCCCTGGTTCTATAGCTGGGTGAACTGGAGCACAGAGAGGTTAAGTCACTCACCCAAGATCACACAGCTCAAAATTATGGCACATTGGGCATTGAACCCAGGCAGGTGGCCTCAGAGGGCAGGCTCTGAGACCCAGAGCCACAGCTCTGCCCCGGTGATACGGTGACGTCTACACAGCCCTCCCCCTGCCCCGCCTGCCTACCTGTTGGTCTTCCAAATGTGCAGGGTGTCCGGGTCGGAGATTCCCCTCTTCTCGGCCTGCTCTTCCAGGAAGTCGAAGAAGTACTTGACGGCCAGCGGGGGCTTGTCTTCCCGGATGCTCAGAATGGCCTTGAACAAGTCGTCCAGAAACTTCTGCAGCGTGCCCTGTGGGGGGTGGGGGGCCACGGTCAGCGAGGGGCACTCTCAGAGCCGTGGGCCACCAGGGCAGCCCGTGCCTGGTGCCTGGGGAAGGCACGTGACCTCAGTTGGGTCCGTAGTGGAACTTCCCCCGGGGGTGGTGACAGATCCTGGGTCCCCAGCTGGGAACGGGCCACACCACTGGCCCCCATTTCCTTCTCCACTGCCCCACAGGGGGACAGGGGAGCATGCACAGCGGACCCCCAGGAGCTGGGGAGGGGACACTGAGGCGGGGCCCACCTTGGTGGACAGCAGGCGGGTCAGGTAGATCTCGGGGAGCACCTTCTTCCGGTGGCTCTGTCGGTGGGACTTCTTGGGTTCCGCCAGCTCATCGGTGGGCAGCACCTGGGAGGTGGGCAGTGGTCAGTGCCCGGCCATGCACACTGGCCACCGGGGGGAGGCCCTGGCCCTGGCTCCCTGCACATGGGCCTCTGACGTCCACTGATCCTGGACGCATCCCCAGCTCCCTCAGCCCAGCCCAGCCCTTCCCAGGGCCTGGGAGCCATTTCTCAGAGGCCCAGGGTGGCCCAGAGCCAAGGCCACTCCCAGCCCGGGCCAGGCTCCCCGGGGTCCAGGCTGGACACTCACCAAGTGGAAATACTTCTCCGTGTCCAAGTCCTTCACTGCGAGGGGAGGGAGCACACGAGAAATCAACAAGAGGCGACAGCAAGGCCCAGGGCCCAGGACCCTCCGCTCAACCTCAGGGTGCACCCCAGGACTCAGAGGAGCCCCGATTCCCAGAACTGGCAGCTGGGCAGCGAGGCCCGGGCCACCACAGGGACCGGTGGCACCAACACAGCCCCAGACCCAGAGAGGCCTGCCAGCTCCCCTCCCCCTGGCCCCTGCCCAGGCCACATCCCGTGCTCCTGGGCCGGCCTCCAGCTGCCCACAGGCCATCGGCCTGCCAAGGCCCGGCCACAGGAGGAGTGGGTCAGAGGAGCCTGGCCCTGCCCTGCAGCCCTACCTCGGCCCAGGGTATTGTCCTTCTTGTCCGACAGGCTCATGGCCAGAGAGGCCCCTTCGGGGATCTGACGGGAGGGGAGAGGCTGGAGTCAGAGGCCGGGAGTCCAGGGAGGGAGGCAGGGGAGGGGCGGGGCTGCACCTTGTAGTGGGCCAGCGTGTTGAGCTTCTTGCGGCCGTCCTCCACCACCGAGGTGTCGTCCAGGTCCCGCAGGATGTAGCTCTGGGTGCTCGAGGCAAACCACTCTGGGGGCAGAGGGGCCGATCAGGGTCAGGGCGGGCAGCCAGGACTGGGAGGCCACCCAAGAAGAGGCCTCTGTCACCCTGGCTGGGCAGCCCCAGGCAAGCCAGGCCCCTCTCTGAGCCTCTGTGTCTTCATCTGGAAAATGGGGAGATGGTACACAACAAAGGTCCCTGGGAGCTGTCACCAAGCAGACACTCGGGAAGCGTCCCCACTCCCCAGGGTCCTTCATGTTACAACTCCTGAGATAAAAGGTGTCACCTGCACCACAGGCCACACAACTCCCATGGCTCCCACTGTCCTGGGGAGAAAGGGAGGGCCCAGCTCTGTCCAGGACTGGGCACAGTGTGAGTGACCAGGGACGCCCCGTAGTTTTAGGAACCTCTCTTTGTGGCAGAACTGAAACTCCTATGCACCCTTCAAAACCCACTCTGAGGTGCCCTTCTGTGGGAAGCTCCTCCCACAGGGTTTTGTCTACTGTCCAAAGCTTGATCACATCGCAGGGCCCGCGTCCCACCAAACCAGAGCCCCTTGCTCTTGGGAGCCTAGTCTGCCATCGCGGGTGTCCCCAAGGCCACTGATCATGCACATGTGCTCGTTTGAAGGGGACTTTCTGGCCAAGGCCGAAGCCTCCAGGCACCCAGGCCCCTGTGCCCACCCCTACCCCTGCTCCTGCCCACCAAGGTCCACGTCCTCGGCCCGCGGCCACTGCGAATAGGGCACATTCTTGCAGAAGGCTTCCAGAATCTTCTCCTTCACTTGTGTCAGCGTGTCGGTGTCCATGGCTCGCACGCTCAGCGAGTCCATGCCGCAGCCCTGGAAGGACACGTTCAGGTTCTGCAGAGACAGACAAGGCAAAAGGGACAGGGGTCAATAGGTTGTCACCCTTGCTACACAGGAAAGGCTCTGTCCTGGGAGGCTGCAAGGCTAGGTGAAGACTGGAGGCCAAAAATAAATAATAATACAAAAGAAAGACTGGAGGCCTGGACCAGCCCCGCCCAGGACTGGCAAGCCCCGCCCACATGGCCACACCCACCTCAATCCCCGCCCACACGACCCTCCCACTAGCGCTCCCTGCCTAACCCCGCTTAAAGAAGGCTCAGCACCACATGGCCCCACCCACCATTTGGGCCCGCCCACATCAAGCCCCACCCACACAACCCGCCCACTGGCGCTCCCTGCCTAACCCCGCCTAAAGCAGGCTCAGCACCCCGTGGCCCCACCCACCATTTGGGCCCGCCCACTGCTTGGCCCCGCCCAGGGCTGACAAAGCCCCGCCCACGTAGTCACGCCCACCTCAAGCCCCGCCCACTAGCATCGCTGCCTAACCCAGCCTAAAGCACGCCCAGCACCATGTGGCCCCGCCCACTGCTTGGCCCCGCCCATAGGTCTCGCCCACTGCTTGGCCCCGCCCCTCCCCGCCCACCAGGCTCACCCTGGGCTTGGCCTCTATGTTCTCCCGCAGCAGCCACTCCTCGTTGAGCGTGTAGCGGGCCTTGCCAGTGATGGCGTCGATGGAGCCCTTGTTGATCTGCTGCTTGATGGCACACAGGAGCAGGAAGAATGGCTCCCCGACCGTCTCCTGGGTGGGCACAGGGCTGTCAGGGGTCAAGGCCCTGGGCCGCCCTCCATGTCCCAGCCTCTACATTTTGGCCTCACCCCATCCCATCTGGGGGCCCACTTGTCCCCAACACCTCCTTTGGGACCCCAGTGCCCAGGCTGACACCCCCTGTCCGGTGCCTCTATGGACCAGAAGTTCTTTTGCAGGGACCAACAAGCCCCCTGCACAGCTCCATGGACACTACTGAGGCTCAGAGAGGGCAAGCCATCTGCCCAGCATGGCCCAGCTCGGTCGTGCATCCACCCAGTCCTGAGCCCGTGGCTGGCCCTGCCTACCCAGCGGGGACCTCCCAGGGTGAGGCGAGGTGGAAACAGGACCCAGAGGAGTTCACAGCCTGAAGCCGTGCTATCTGCAGCCCCCCTGCTGTGAACCCCCATTTTATTGCAACTACCCGGCCAACAAGGGACTCGCTGCCACCCACAGTCTCCAGCTGATTGCCCAGCGACCCAGCTGTTCCATTTACGTGGACACTGAAGTGGGAACGGTAAGTGTGTTTGAAAAAGCGTTAAGTACATTTTAAGCAGATTTGGCAGCGTCCGTCGGAAGGCAGCGGGCCAGCTCTTAGTCCAGAGCCAATTCTCCGGATCTAGGGCTGGGAGCCACCGATGTCCCATTTTGTAGAGGAGAGAAAAGGCCCAGAGGGCAGGGACAGACCTGATGGAGGCCACATAAAGTGGCCAGGGGAGCTAGGTCCAGAGCCCCCGCAGCCCCCAGGGTCCAGGTCTGTCCCATCCCATGCTTCCTGCTTCCCCTGAGAGGATTCACAGGACTCCAAAGGCCAGGGGCAGAGGATCTGCTTAACCAAAGGTAACCAAGGCCCAGAGAGGGCAGTGACTTACCCAGGGTCACACAGCTGGGTTCTGCCAAAGACCAGATGGAGACCCAACACAATTAAGGGCCTGGTTCTGGGCTCTGTCCAAGCCTTTGCCTTTCTCCCATGAACCCCAGCTGACCCTGTGGCCTCTGCCCTTGTAAAGGCAGCCGGATGGCAAGACAGGACCAGGGACTCCCGTTCTGCAGAAGAGTTCTAATGGGGGTTCTTTTGCATTTCAGTTTGCGATCCTCCTGCCTCAGCCTCCCGAGCTGCTAGGACGACAGGTGTGTGCTAGGAGGACAGGTGTGTGCCACCGCGCCCGGCTCCCGGGCCCCTTCTGAGCATCCCTTTCCATATCTGCACAAGGGCTAGGAGAGTCCCTGGAGACCCGGGGGGCGTGACTTGCGGCCTCCCCTGCGCAGGCGCGAGCGGCCTCACCCGCAGGCAGCTGTACATGCAGATGGACATCCAGTTGGTGAGCATCTTCTCCACCACCGACTCGGTGCGCCGCAGCATGAGCTTGGGGTTCTTGGCGGCCGAGGCGTCGATGAGGTCCACCAGCAGCTCCTTCATGATGCCTGTATAGTACTCCAATTTGCCGTGCAGAGCGATGGTCAGCAGCGAGGCCAGGCTGCACCTGCGGGGTCCGCGGGGCGTCAGCCAGGGATCGGACCTGGGGAGTCCAGCCCGGCGGCCCCCCATGCCCCGGGGACTGACCTGTCCCGCACGACAAAGTCCTTCTGCTGCTCCAGGGCGTGCACGAAGACGATGAGGAAGTGCTTGTTGTTGAGCAGGGACGAGAAGAGGCTGATGCCCTCCTCCATGTGCGGCCGGCAGCTCTCGGGGATCTGCGGAGGCAGCGGAGGCTGCCGTCTCCCAAGGCCAACGACGGGCGTCCCCGGGTTGCAGGAGGGGGACAGTGGGACCTCGTGGGGACCTGGGGTACTCACGGTCCACTCTCCCAGCAGCGGGTGGGTCTCCTGCGGCGCGGACCCACTCCCCTGGGGACTGAGGGTCTTCGAGGGCGACACGTAGCGCTCTTCGGAAAGGGAGGAGCACTGCGGAGGCAGATCCCAGGGTCCTCAGCGGCTGGACGCCCCCCGATGGCCAGGCCAGGCTCGCAGGGCAGAAAGGGGCACCAGCCTGGGCCTCTGCCGGGGGACACTGGCCCGGAAATGACAGCACCCAAAGCACCCGGGGGCCCTTTTTATTTATGCACAGGGCTTTGCTAAGTTGTTGAGGCTGGCCTCCAACCTGTGATCCTCCTGCCTCAGCCTCCTGAGCCGCTGGGATGACAGGCATGGGCGAGGCACAGGATAGTTAAGCAGAACCCAGAGGACAGGAGACAACAGGGAGGGAATCCTGGGAGTCCCAGTCACCCTTAGTGACTTAGTGAGGGGAGGACACCAAGGAGGAGATGGGGGCTCGCAGCTGGTTCCCCTATGGACAGATCCCCTCCCTTGGCAGGACTGCCATGAACGGGAGTGCAGGTTTTGCACTGCTCAAGAGGCCCTGTACCGCATGCACGTTCCCTGGGTCAAGCTGCCCTGTCCAGGTTCAAGGGTGGGGGGCTCTGGCTGACCTTGGGGAAGAAGGTGCGGGTCACAAAGTGCTTATATTCCAGGAAGGGGATGCCCTGGCTGCGGTTCAGCTCTTTGGTCAGATCTGTCATGTCCGTCTGAAGCTCTGCGAAGCCTGGCGGAGAGGCAGGGAGCTGTCAGCGGACTGTGCACCTGTCCCCCCCGACGGGACAGCCTTTGCCCGGTGCCACCCACTGACCTTTGCGGATCTCCTCGCGGATCTGCGATTCCATCTCCTCCATCTGCAGGAGCGTCTTCTGCCAGTAGCGCTCTGCGCGGCGGCTCTTGGTACAAAAGACAAACAGGGCTGCGGGCAGCAAAGCATTTATTGGCACCTGTTGTATGCAGATCCCAGGCCTGTGGGGACAGCTTCTCCCCAGGATCCTTAGGGGACAGCGCTCACAAAAAGTAGCTCTCGGGTGATAAAATGGTGTGTTTTCTGTTTTCTTTTTGGATTTTGGTATTTTCTGTTCTTTGTTCAATGACCAAGAATTATGCTGAATTAAGATTCATTTTTTTTAAGGGACTGGGGATTGAACCCAGAGGCTCTCTACCACGGAGCTGCACCCCCAGATCTTTTTATTTTTATTTTTTTTTTATTTTGAGCCAGGGTCTTGCTAAGTTGCTGAGGCTGGCCTCCAACTTGCCATCCTCTTGCCCCAGCCTCCCAAAGGTTGGGATTGCAGGTGTGCGTCCCCACACCTGGTGACAGTGAACATGTTGACCATCTACAGAGGGTTTTCCAAAGCAGTTGGACCACTTTACAGTCCCACCAGTAGCGTATGAGGCTCCAATTTCTAGACTACATTATTTTACTTAAAAAAAATTTTTTTTAAAGTTGTAGATGGACAAATGCCTTAATTTTGTTGGTTTATTTTTATGTGGTTGCTGAGGATCGAACCCAGGGCCTCACACGTGCCAGGCCAGCGCTCTACCCCTGAGCCCCAGCCCCTACATTATTTTATGACGCCCTTCCTGGATGCCCGTGTTCAGACAGGCCGGAGCCTGGGGGGCAGGTCTGCCCTCCCTGTGTTCCAAGCCTGGGAATCCTTACCAACCACAGAGAGCAACAGCAGGACGCTGCAGATAACGATGGACACTATGATGGCGGTCTCGCTGCCCCCCAGCTGCAACGTGGCGATGGTCTGGTTGAAGTTCCCTACTTGGATCTGCACAGAGGGAGGGAAAGGGATTGTAGTTTTCCTGGAATTACGTTTTGGCTAATGCTGTGTGGTCTTGGGCAAGTCACCTAACCTCTCTGAGCCCCCGTGGTAATACAAAGATAACCACCTCTACCTCCTGGGGAGACTGACAGCTAATCGAGATGATGCTTGTCAGTTCAGGAGGCCGTGACAATTATTAGAGCCTGGGGGGAGCAGGGAAAGATGGGCAGTTCACAGGGCCTGGCTCCGGTCCTTGATTATCTGGGACCAGGACAGCAGGTGAAAAGACTTGACCAGGCAGGACACCAGGATTCTGAAAGCCCAGCCACCTCAGGGCCCAGCTGAAGTGAATGACTGACACTGAGCAGGTCCCTAAGGTCTTGGACCTCCGTGTCCTCATCTGCCCAGGGAGGATCTGAAGCTCTGCCTTGCGTTGCTGGCCTAAGCTATTGAGCACGAAAACTGGTGGATGCTCAGGGAATGGTTGGGGCGGGGCCAGAGTGAGCTCCGCCTCTGCCACTCACCGTGATGGGCAGCTGCCCCTCGGCGGCGCCCAGGGACTCATTGACCGAACAGTGGATGACCCTCTCCGAGATGATCTGGATGTCGCAGGCCACCTGGCCTATCTTGACGCGGTACTCGTGGCTCTCGAGTCCCAGGCTGTCCTGCTCCTTCTGTGGGTACAGGAGGGACGCTGGCCAACGCTCTTGGCTGAGCCTGGCCTGCCCCCTCCAGCCATCCCGGGGGTCCCCAGGGGCTCACGTGGATGACCAGGGTGAGGGGCTCCCCAGGGTGGTGCTTGATCCACTTCTCGCGCTTGGCGGTGGAGAACTGCGGGTTGGGGAGGTAGTCCAGGCGGAACCTGCTGCCCCGCGGCACCTCCTCGGGGTCCCCCAGCTCCTCGGCCACCGCCACCTCGTCGGCGTAGGCCCGCCCGTTGATGAAGAAGTCCACGGGGGCCGAGGTATTGCTCAGGGCCCCCGGGGACGGGCAGGTGATGAGGGTGGCATTGAGGACCTTGCAGAGCTGGCCCCGGGGTCAGGGTGAGGAATGCAGGATGGACAGACGGACACCGGACCAACAGGGGTTGGGGTGAAAGGGGACAGAAAGAGACAGAGATGCCGCAGGAAGAGGCCTGGTCAGCCAGGGCCACCAGCTGTACCTAGCCCACCCCCCATCGCAGCCCCCCGGGGGGTCCCCTCACCGTGGGCTCCCGGCCAATGTGGTGCACGGACATGGACACGTTCTGGACCATGTGGAAACGCTCGCCAGCCACCGTGATGGTCCTGCCGCCGCTGTGGGGGACAGCCAGACCCCCTCAGCACACCTGTGGCCCCAAGCAAGGAGGCGGGGCTGGGCCAGGGGCTGGGGCTCACCTGACGGGGCTGCGGCGGGGGCTGATGGCCGTGATCACGGGGTTCGGCATGTACCAGAAGGTGAGGTTGCCGCGCACGCAGCCCCTGCGCTCCAGGCGCACGCACACGGGCACCGGGGCCGCCTGGGCGCCCCCGGGCACCGTGCAGGTGATGCTGGTTTCCGTGCGGCCGCGGGGGACGGCCACATCAGCAGGGGGACCCGCCTGGGCTGCCAATGTGTCAGCCCCATGCACTTGGCCTGGGGCCCGCCTTGTCTTCTGCACCCTTAGGTGGGTGCCCGACCCACCTCCTCCAGGAAGCCTCCCCAGATCTCACTCAGAACCCCAAAGCCCTGACTTTTCTCTGATCCTGTCTCCACGGGAGCTTCCTGATTCCCTGAGGCCTGGGCCGGGCTTATCTTGGTATCCCCAGAAAAGCCTATCAATGAGGCACGGTACACAGTAAGTGCATAATAAAGACAGAGGTTCCCCCAGCTCCAACACCAAAAGGCTCCAGGCCACGCCCCCTACCACTGGTCACACTCCTGGGCCAGCGGCTGCCATTTATGGAGCACCTACTGTATGCTGGGCACAGTGCACTCCCTGAACTTAAAGGCCATTCTTACGCCAGGCAGGATGGTGCACGCCTGTCACCCCAGCAGCTCAGGAGGCTGAGGCAGGAGGATCACAAGTTGGAGGCCAGCCTCAGCAACTTAGCAAGGCCCTAAGCAACTCAGGGAGACCCTGACTCTAAATAAAATAGAAAAAGGGCTGGGGTCGGGGCTCCGTGATTAAGTGCCCCTGGGTTTAATCCCTGGTATCAAAAAAAAAAAAATAAAATGTTCTTAGAAGAAGACACTGAAGGTCAGAGAAGTGGAGAGGCTTCCCTAAGGGGCCACGGCTAACAAACAACCACTGTTTGGGACAATGACCTCGCCCCCACCCAGGCGTCCCCCAACCCCATGGGTTTCTCTGGCGGGAGGGGCAGGGCTGCTCTCGGGCTTACACAAGCTCCGTGCAGGGGTCTGTGTCGTTCACCAGGACCTGGAGCTCGGAGCCCACGTGGAGGTCACTCCCATGGATGGTGATCCTGGTGCCCCCTGCCTTGGGGCCCATTTTAGGGTCCAGGTTGTGGACCAGAGGCAGCTGGAGGCGGAGGGCAGGAGTCAGG